TCAAGAGTGATGACTTGGGACAAGGCTCAAAAGGTTTCAGTGACTGCACCTCCTAATTCATAAACAGGGCTTCATTTCTAGAGAGAAGCAGTGAGCCAAGCAGGTTGGGATGGATGAAATTTATACTCATAGAAATGAATACATTAGTTTCTTGCAAACACACTAATCAAACAAGCAAAAATGTGGAGAATGAAGTAGCACAACAGAGGTCCAAACATTTGGCTTACATTTTGGGTCAGTATGGCTCCACTATTTAACCAGAAAACTCAGCAACTTTAACAAGTGCAGAGATGGGGAAAATAGCTTTTTGGGCTGCAGCTCTGAGAAGATCCTATTGGTCTACTGTCATTGTTCCTAGTTGACATTAACCAGATTGGAACCAACAATTACTATACTGGATTATTCCTCCTTCCCTGCTCCCCCATCCTTTTGCAGCATGTTTTGCTTGGAAGGGAGTGCAAGTCAGAACTCAGGTTAGTCGTATGGAGAAGAAGCATTTTGATGCAGCCACTTTATTTCTGATTTTATAGGGCTATGGCGGGAGGGCATCAAAATATCTACAAGTGGGTGGGGCTTCAGAGGGTAAGAACTGTGGATTTAATTAAAGGCCTTTATTCCCTCTAGTAATATAAGTACTGGTACGAATGTGGGAACTGCCAGTAATGTGCCATTCATGTGAGAGCAGTACACGGAAATGTAGCTGGCATGTGTACAGTCAATACTATATGAGGAACTGAAAATGGCGGGGTCATCCATCGCTACTGAATTTTATATGTGTCAGCTACATATGAATGTGGAAGGCTGGTAAGACAGGTATGTCCAATTTGTCCATCTTGTCTTTAATGTGGTGGGTCTAATCAAGTGAAAATACCATCTTGTCTAGCCTATTGTGATGCAGCAATAAACAATTTAAGGGGAAAAATTAAAAAAAACATTAAAAGGAAAAACAGCAGTGCCCCACCACCCAAAATCCACATGGACACAAATTAAAGTGACAGCACCATTCACATCCACAAAACCAAACTGAATGGAATCAATTTTAGAGGTGAAGTATTTTAAGAAGCCACTGCTGGCCAGTTGAAAGAAACTCACTTTGCAGCCCATATAAATCGATTTCACCCTTGCGTTGTGTGAATGACAAAATCTAAATTGATTTAAATGATGCTAAAATTCAGTTCTTATTATCCATGTGACCACAGTCTCAGTCTGAGAAAGTGGGGAAGAAAATAAGCACATGACAAGCTTAGAGGAAACCTTTTGAATTTGGACTGTTATCGTCAGCTGAAGAGTCACATAATTCTATTTTCCTTAGCTTTATTACACTTGCTAGAATAGGATGTTCTTTAATATATTAATCAGAAAAAGCTAGATGGGGGAAGGAGGGGAGAGGGCCACCTGGAAGTTTACAAAACACTTGTAAAAAAATATCTGAAGTGTTGTATCAGCCAGGATCCATGACATGACAGGGGACTCCATTTTAATGAAGAGTGAGATCATAGCTAATTATAAGGACCTCATCTCTGCATCCAGAACAGAGGAGGAAAGGCTAAAAGCCATAGAAAAAGGAGAGCTTAAAGGGAATTTAAATTGGCTAAGAGGAACACAGAGTTAATCCCTCCTCAGCCTGCAGGTCATTAATGAAAACAGTCTGCCAATGTTATTTCATTCATTTGTGGTCAACTGCAAAAACACATTCAGCATTCTCAAGCATAGGGACTCCATGGTTTCAGAGACCTAGGAAACAGTTGCAAAAAAACAAAAACAAAAAAAAAACTCAACACAAACAACAGAATCTGTCTAGGAAAGCAAGCTGTCCCTTTAAAAACATGGACAACTTTTCCAGTATCAATAAATTAACCGATCAAACTTGCATAAACCTACATGAGCATCACCTCAATATTTCTGAAGTAAAAGAACATGCTTTCTGGATCAGGAACAGAATAGAGTAACATGCATGTTGGCACCCAATTCACACATACTTTGTTTGATGCCCGCCTTGGCAATGGTGTGATAGTCCTTATTCCTTGCCATGCCATTGCTAGCCCAACACCTTCAATAGTATGGGTATGCGAAAGGGCTTTGACTCTTCAGCTACTCATCTCAAAACCTTTTTGTCCAAGCCAAGAGGGGAAGGAAATGGTATATGTCAGTTGAAACAGAGAACAGAAAAATGAAGAGGTTAGGGGAAATCAAGACAAGGAGAGGAGGAAACTCAATTTACTTTTCTAAAATGATGTCTGATTAATTGGGGGAGGGGGCTTTTGAAACAATTTAGAAAGTTTTCAGTCAGTTGATAGTTTCAGTTAATCCATTAACTATTTTAAGGCCATTCTCTCTCTCTCTATTCTTTAAAGGTACTTCAGTAAAATTTTAGTGAGGCTTTAACACCCTCAAATGTTTCTAAAAGAGAAAAAAACTGTAAACTGTCATTTACAGTTATATTAAGTTCTGTGTGGTTGTGTGGTGTCTTTCAAACAGCGGTGCAGCATCTTATGGTTTTGTTTTTACATTGCCCTATTATTTTTGCTATTATGTTCCAGAAAATATATTTGTCTCAACTTATCTTAGCTGAGATCTTGATGGGTTTTGTCTTTATTTTTTTAAAAGTTAATCTTCTTTTCCCAGTGCCACACAATTCAGAATCATGATCAGTTTTAGAACCCTCATGAACAAAGAACAGATCTAAAGTTATTATATACAATGCATCTGATCTGAGTACCTCCCGTCTATTTATTCCAATATGTGTCTTATGCAGCAATAAGAAATCTATTTGGAATATGAACATTTGGGCCTCAAGTAACAATTGCAAAGCTTCTTCCGTACTTATACAGGAAGTCATATTTTAAATAATCATTTAATTTGGCACAAACTAAACCTAAAATTGGCACCTTCTTAGTATGCAAGAAACACAGTCTTGTAAAAGAGCACAACTCACACAAGGGGAAACTGAAGCAGCTTAAGATGCCATCGTGGCTCACCGGTTCATCTCCTGACTAATTTGCTTTTAATGAGGATATTATAGGCACTGCAAAAAAGAGAAGTAACAATAATTTGGTACTCTTAGGGGCTGCACGGTTTTGGAACAGCACACTTCTTTACTGAATAGCCTTGAACTTAATCCAGGATTACTCAAATGCATGAGAATTGTTCGCAGACTGGAAACAACATCCCTAGGTCTCCCTTTGTATTGTAACCTTCATCACAGTATCAGCTTGCAGTGAAACCTGAATATCCTAACGGGATTAGACATGAAAGAAAAGAGTCTCAGGATTGGACTTTCAACTGAAACCCCGCTGTGAGAAAGACCACGCCACTGTCTTTGACCTTTCCCTTCCTTTGCATGAGTCCAGTTGTGCCTAGTCAAGTGTCTAAAAGAAGAGCCCATCCATTCGCTCCCTGTTTATCCTTTTGCTCACATAACAGGTGTCTGGTTACTAAAAAGAAAAAAGCATGGAAGTCTCTGATCTCTAGCACAGGCAAACTCAGCTAGCATGAGTAATGTATTCCAGAACCCCTCCTCCCCAAAACACACAGAGAGAGAGAGAGAGAGAGAGAGAGCTCCCTAAGACAATGAAGCTACAAAGAATGTTGTGTGTCTCAATCAATTCAGATCTGAAGCAAAATAGGAAGTCATCATTAAGTATTTTGCATGTTTCTTTTCTTTTTTTCCTTTGGGACAATTCATCACCAAAGGGATGTGGCTTCATTAACATTACCATCGCATATTGGCTGGGATTCAAAGAGCCAGTTCATGCAAGCCCAAATGTTTGGCCAGGCATGGTGGAATTTCTGCCTTTTGGCCCTTAAAATAGCAGGCCTGTGTGCCATAGACTTCTCTCCTTTGGGAAAACCTTCCTTTTCAAAGCACTTTGCACCACCGGGGGGACTGACAATCCAGGAGGCCCCATGTGTGTGTAAGAAGTCATAACATGTTTCAAATTCCCTGCCAGATGTTCACAGTTCACATACAAGTCCTCATTTCCATCTTAAAATTTCTTCCTAAATTAGAATACCAACAACAAAGTGATTTGAAGAGAAAAGTTGTTCTGACTATGAAGTGCATTTAATCAAAGTCAAGCAGTTGAAGCGGGGAACCTTTCCATTACTTGTTTTTTATATGCAGAGAGAGTTGAGGCAGATAGGAAACTACTGGTCCATTACACTCTGTACTGTCTGTCCCAGCTGTCAATGCAAACCCTGGCTTTACAGAATTTAAAAGAGAATGTCTTGCCTAGGGTACCCGGAGACACTAGGAACTGTAATTGGGACCATTTGGATGCTGAGAACATGGAGTGCTTTCTTGTTCTTGGGATAGAATGCAGAACCATATTCCCCCTTCTTGGCACCATGTTAAATTATTTGCTACATATTTCCCATTATTTTTCAAAAGTAACTTGTAACATTTACTTGCTGCTCACTGTTTTAAGGGTAATGCATTAGGAGCTCATTACTTTAGTTATGTTTTTAACTCCTTGTTGAAATAAAGTTTAAAAATACAAAACTGGCCTTAAATTCCCCCAAATGACCTCACTCACCACCATTTTAAGACAAATGTTATTTGCTATAGTACCAAACAGAACAATGTGCCAAACACTGCATTTTTCTGCAAAAATAACATTCCCGGCCTCATTACCTCCAGGCTGATAGAAAGCTGATGTTGCTATTTGCAATGTGTTAACTTCCAAGCTATGTTAAGAGACAATATGCAAATATTCAATATGCAAATATGTAATCATCCACATGCTCATGGAGCCTTCTGTACAGGAGGATCTAGAGATGTAGGGAGCCTTGAAAAAGTGTGCAAATATGGACAGAAAGAAGGGAAATGGTTGGCTAAAACAGCAGAGGAAAGTGAAAACGCATAAAATATTTGATTAAAGACAGAATGGAGGAGGTATTGAAATGCCATCTAACCGTTCATTATTTCATTGTACGAGGACACATGAACTGGCATGAATTAAGGATAAAAGGTCTGTTTTCAAAAAGGAAAAACAAAGTACCTGCACAAAACCACACACCATGAAGTCATCAAACAATGGCAAGCTTGGGCGGTCTTCTCGATAGATAATAATTTTGTAGATGCTGACAACCTCATGGGGCAATTGAGACTCATCTGTTACCAGAATATTAATTCTGTTTATTCCTAGTCCAAGAGGGTAATTTGCCACACTGTTAGAAAATTGGGATGGGGTGGAGGGTGAGGAACAAGAAAAACAAAACATCAATGAAAAAAAAAACTAATCTAGCAATTTGCATATTCCACTTCATTTTAAAGGCACCATAGGCCATAAGTCTCTTGGCAAACATGTTTTTGATTTCTGTTAGAGATGTTTAATGAAACAGAAGTTTTTCTTATGCTAGTTGCAGCTTTCTTTTTGATCCTTTCTTTTGTCCCTCAGTCCTTACTAATATTTCCCATTGTCTGACAATGATATCAGCCTGGATGGCAGGCTCACCAACTCAAACTCAATATGGAAAAGGGACAATTCACAGCATCCTCCCCACAAAACCTTTATTTTCACCTTTTCTGCAAGTTAGAAGCCTGGGTGGTGCCTCTGATCCTGTGCTTTCTTTCTCAGCTCACACTTCTGCTCTAGCTAGGGCTTGCCAGTTCACTCTTTACTACTTTAAAAAAAAATGTTCTCCCTCCTCCCACCATGCAATTCTGAGTCTCCTTCTAATAATAAGCATGTTCCAACCATTCAATTATGATTCATGACAACCCCTTTCAGGGTTTTCTGGGTAGAGAGTACTCAGAAGTGGTTTACCATTCCCTTCTTCTGGGGGCCTTAGGTTGCCCAGGGCCACACAGGCTGGCTCTACTCACGGGAGGCACAGTGAGGAATCAAACTCCCAACCTCTGGCTCCACAGCCAGATACCTAAGCCACTGAGCTCTAGTCTACCTTAAGCTAAATAAAGTAATGCTCTGCTTACTCATCTTTTGGTCTGTCCTTTTCAATTCATCCTCTCTTTTCCACAATATCTTCTCCTTCGTTCATTTCTCTTTCTTTGCTTTTTAATTATGTTATACTCCACAAGCAGCTCGCAGTCTGAGAAGAAGGGGAAGGGGTCACTCAGTCCCAAATTTCTGGCTTAGGTACCTTTCCTGACCCTACAGTTACATGTCCATGTGCTTCTGGTTTCCTCCATTGAATCCAGTTAAGGTTTTAACAAGTCTAAAGCAGAGAAGTTACCAGTTCTTTAGCCCTGCCATCTCTTGCCCACCAGCCATTTTTGTGCCTTTGGTTGGAAGGACATTTCCTGCATCTGCCCAGCTGCCCTGTTTTCAAAACAACTGCTAGTGGTGCACAGTCAGTGGAGCAGAAGGTGACATTCCTATCTAGGGAGAATTCTCCACAGGCAGACATCCTCTTCGGTTCATAGAGAGGAAGATTGCTGCCCTATTATACCTGAGCATGACTTCCAAGGGAAATAGGATTACACCACCTTTCTAAGGAAAGGCTCATTTTTGCTCTCAGGGATGGGATGGGTTACATGTTGCTTATAGCCTGCATTTTGCCTACCCTGATTTAAATTTTGGAAGACCCTGGATATTATTATTATTATTCAAAAATAACAGACACAGTCAATCAAAACTATAAAAACATTGACTGGCATTATACAATAGATACATGTTTTAACCAGTATCTGTTAAATATTGCCACAGTATTCATGCTGATCCTAATATTGCTATTTTTATAGCACTGATGGTGTTATTCCTGAGATCTGCACCTGCTTATAATACTGTGTGGAATTTCTTGATATTGTTCCCAAAGATTATGATGATGATTTTTCCTTATATATCACCCCATAGCACTAGAATACTCTTGGGCCAGTTTACAACATAATTATGCAAGAAACATCCCCCCTCCCCAGCAAGTTGAGTACTCATTAAATACAGGATTGAGCCTTAGTCTGGGCAAGACAGCTGACAAGATGATTGGAAAAGTCATCCCAAGATGCTCATGTCAAATCAGATTAGACATGTCAGGTAGCCCTGCAAATTGGTTGCCACCAAGCATGAAGGGCCACCAAGCTGATGGCTGATGGAGATTATTTTGTTCCAGACTGAGGCAGAAATGACTGAGAGTAGGAACCAGAGTGTAGTTTTCAGATAAACATGTGAATCGTTTAAGGATGCTTCTCATCCTTACAGTCTGTAAATATTTAGGTGGTTACCTACTGCATCCCTCTTGTGTAGTAGAGTTCAGTGTTTGCAATTATTTCCTAACGAGTGGCCACACTTCAGGTAGATCAGATGCTGTTTGCCAAAATGCTAAGACAGTGCCCATAATTTTACTGCTGATGGGAAGTTGTCACTATAACACATACGTGAAGGATTCTTGCATTACTAAATCTTCCACTTCCCTTAGCTTCCCAGTGTGAGCCAAAAATTATAACCCAGAACTGAGCAAAGTGAAAATCATTACTTATATATTTATGAAAACAGTATTTTAATACACCAGTTATATGAACTTTTTGCATGAATTCTTTAGTGACAAAGTATCTTTGCAGGAGCATCATAAGGTGGTGGAAAGACATAAAATTAAAGAGATCTCTCTATTCATGCAATCATAGAATAGGTATGTTTAGCTAAGCGGCCAAAGTAGGATCTAGATTTGGTCATCCTTAGAGGAGATCACTGAAACTAATGAGACTCAAATTAGTCAACAATTCACTTTCAGTATGTCTGTTATAAGCATGGCCAAGTCTGAATCTAAAACATGTTGGATAGTGTTGGCAAAAGAAAAGAAAAGAAAAACCACAAAATATTGTAGCACTTTGAAGATTAACAATTTTATTTTTAGGTGGGTTTTTGTGGGTCAATGTCTCCTTTCTCAGACACTGACGGCCAAATATGACTGGTACATTTATACATATCCCCATGTCCAGGTTAGGATACAGATAACAGCTAAAGGGGCCATGTTTCATTAACACAGGAATGGGACTTAGCAAACTGTAAACGTTTAGAACTCTTTGACCTCTCAGTCAATATGGATCCTTGTAAGAAAAAAGAATTACCAAAGGAGAATCAAGGAAGAGACAGCAAAAACTGACTACATAAACAAGTTCTAGTGCATCTCTAAGTGGATCGAGAGAGATTAAGCTTCTTGGCACACTTTATATTTTAATAAACCGGATTTCTGCAGTATCTTATGGGTCTGAAATGCTTGCCTCTCTTGATGGACTCTGACCTTTTTCCCAGAAAAAAGTCTCCTAGCATTCCTGACAGCCAAGTCCACCTGGAGTACAGCTAATGCCCTAGCCAGGACCTGCTGACTAATTAATGTACAGCTTGATAGTTCCCTTTCTATGCTGACAGACCATGGTCACTTTGTCTATTATCTGTATCCTCATTTAGTCATGTGTGTTATCTACTGTCAAGATGTGTAGCAATCCTAATAGAGTTTTCAAGGTGAGATATTTAAGGAGTAGTTTTACCTGTTTCACTTCCCTCCCAGTGAGTTTCCATGGCCAAGGGGAGGTTCAGACCCAGATCTCCTTAGTCCTACTCCATGTGGTTGTGGGGATACATACAAATATACAGCTCATATATTTGCACTCCACTGTCTGAGGAAGTAGACTTTAATCCGTGAAAGCTCAGCACTGTCTGAGGAAGTAGACTTTAATCCGTTGAAAGCTCAGACTGAAATAAAACTGTTAATCTTTAAAGTGATACATTATCTTGCTTTTCTTTTTCTGTTCCTTTTGCCAACGTGATGAGGCAGATTAAACAGCTGCATCTTTGGAAATTATATTATACCTAAGGCATTGTGTAAACATGGGAGATCTGAAAAACTCAAGCAAATAGCACAGTGGTATTTGATTCCAACAAGGCAAGGAGAATGTGTGGTCCTCCAGATGTTGAGCTGCAACCACTCCAACCTTTACCATTGGATATTCTGGTGAGGACTGCTGGTAGTCAGAGCCCAACATCTGGAGAGCGGATGGGAGTTCCTCACTTGCACTTTTGATAAAACAAATGACTTCATGGAATGTCCCATTCAAATGATGGAAGGCACGTGACACACAGGCATAGTGGAGAACAGCATGGTGGTGACAGAAGTTTTTGCTCAAACTACACATGCTGTAAACACCATTTGTACAGAATGTACAGGGTGCAAACTGTACAGTGTGATAAAACTGTATAGCAGAAATTACACACAGGTGGCGTGAACTACATCCTAGAAAGTGCTCACTCAGAGGTGTAAACTTTGGTTCTGTAGCGTTCCTGGCTTTTCATACAAAGACACAAATGTATAGTTTGCACATAGGAAGGGACTGTTCAGAAGGTCTTGCGGTCAGGACTTCCTGCTGTGATTTTGCTTTCCTTTATAAATAAGAATATAAAAAGATCCAGGCTGCATCAGACCTAAAGTCTGCTCAGCATTGTGTTGAAAAAGTGGCCAACCAATTGCCTTTGAGAAACCCATAAAGAAGGACATGAGCGGAACAGCTTCTCCTCCCCAGGAGGCATGTTATTTTACAAACATTTTTGGCTCCAATTCTGCATTGACTAAGCCAATGTATACGTATCAGCTGCAACATGAAGATGCTTAAAGCACACCATATAAAGGCAGCTTCATGTGGTTTTTACTCCATGTGAATGTAAGCTTCTGAAAGAGTAGGGAACTGCCCTCTCATATAACTTGGCACCTACTTCTGTGGCAGTCACATTCATCAGGTGCACCAACATTTCAGTATTTTTACTCCATGCCTTTCAAGTGAGAGTCCGGTTACCTTGGTCCTTTCTTCTCATCTAAGTGAATTTCACACCGACAGTTCACAGCTTCTGCTCTAATCTTTATTGTCAACACATCAAATGGGACCTCAGAGTAGTATTCTTTGATCTTTGGGTCAAAATAAGGATTTAAGTCCAAATGTGGACTAGTGAAAATCTGTCTGATATGAGGTAGGGTATCTTTATCTGTTAAAAAAAAGATAAGTACGAAAGAAAGTGAGATGAAATCAGTTTTTAAAATCGCACAATAGCTAGATATTAGCAAGGACTCAGTTCCTTATTAATCATGGCTAACTGATTTGCTGTTTCTTTTTCTAAGCATTTGTGTATGGGGGGGGGAGATGCCATATGAAGTTGGTCCATGTTTCATGTTTTAAATAATACAAACAGAACTATATTTGATTGCTAGCTCCACCATGATAAAGCTGACAAAACAAAAGACTTGGAACAATTATGACAGATTAAGAGAAATATTTTTTTCATTTATGAATATTAAATGTAATAATTTTGATAATAACAGAGGTATGAATAACAACATTGTAGTCATATTCAGTTCTGGTTAGCATATTAGGACAGAACTGAAACTATATGATAGTTTGTTCTGATATTGGTAAGTCTACCAGCATTTTATATATTTATACTTATCCAAGCACCTATAGTTTATTAACAATAAGATGGCAACTGAAAGCAAAAACCTTTTCAGTCTAAAAAAGCATCCATTCTCAATGGGGGCCATATGGCTCACTGGGGGGGTCCAGCACATTTGAAGGGGGGCACAGACTGGAAACAATTCTGCACAAACCCCCTTATAAAGTTCATTATGCGACTTACATAATCCTGATTCAGCCTACATTTCTTTAATATTGTATTTATGACTATGGCCAAAAAAAGTTGAGAATGGCTGGTCTGAAGGGTATAGGGAAATGGGATGCAATATTGTTGAATTAGCGCCACCTATTGTCAATATCTTAGATTTTTCCAGAACGAAGCGGACTTACCATAACTGCAGTGTGTTTCTTTGGACAGGTCTAAATAATGCGTACCTAGAAGTTAAACAATCATAATTTAGGATGGGTTTGTGCTACACTCATTGCAGTATATGTATCTGTATCTGGGAAGCTATAGAAATGTCACAATCCAATATCCAAATGTTATCCATCCACTTTCAATAAGGCTTTGTTAAGAGCCTTTTGTTTTCTAGAGACCTGCCCTTCTCTTTGTCTAGTTGTAAACACTGTTCTCAGTGCTGCAAGAAAGTTGTGTAGGAAGAACCAGATGGATGACCAAAGTGTTCAACAGAACCAATATTAAGAAAGTTTTCAATTAGGTAGCCGTGTTCATCTGTTTCAGCACCTATGGCAAAGCAAAAGCAAAGCATGCTGCTTATATACCGCCCCATAGCGCTTCAAGCACTCTCTGGGCGGTTTACAATTTAATTATGCAGGCTACACATTGCCCCCCCCCCCCAGCAAGCTGGGTACTCATTTTACCGACCTTGGAAGGATAGAAAGCTGAGTCAACCTTGAGCCGGCTACCTGGGATTTGAACCCCAGGTCGTGAGCACAGTTTTAGCTGCAGTACAGCAGTTTAACCACTGCACCACGAGGCTCAAACAAAAACAAAGAGAATCCTTCTTTCAGGATTCAAATTGATTTCAGTTTATGTTGGTCATAACCCACTTCCTGTTGTGTCTGAGGAAATGGACGGTAATCCACAAAAACATATACTAAAATAAATCCTTTAATTTTTTAGTTGCTGCAAACGCTTTGTCTTTATTTTTGTTATATGTTCTAAAAAGATAGCTCTCTGATGGGTAAATATGGAAAATATGACCACAACAAGCACTATCAATCTACCGTATTTGCCGGAGTACAAGATGACTGGGCCTATAAGATGACACACACCCCCAACATTTCCACTCAAAATATAGAGTGGATGTCTCTGCTGCGGCACTGGTGGCAGCTGCCCAGGGCTTTGCCCGGGCCCGCCCTGGACATTCATGGCCAGTGAGGAGGAGGGTGAGGAGGAGGGGAAGCAGCCGGGCGGGCGGTGGCAGCAGAGGAGGAGGAGAAGGGGAAGGGGAAGCAGCTCTCTGGCACGCAGGTAGCTGGCTCAGCTGCGAGGAGGGCAAGAAGGAGGGGAAGCGGTCGGGCACAGTGGAGGAGGAGGAAGAGGGGAAGTGGCTATCTGGCGGCGGGCAGGCGAGCAGGCAGCTGGCTCAGTGGCGCAGGGTGGTGTCCAGCCCCGCGGTAGGCTCTGACTGCTCAGGCATGGCTGGCTCTGCTTCCCTCCCTCTGCCCAGACCGCCCGCCCGCCTGCCTGCCTTCCTCCCCTGCCAGAGCGGCCCCACGTCACTCACTCGGCGGTGGCGGTGGCTCCTTCCTGGCCCAACTGAAGTGCACCCAGCGTATAAGACAAACCCCCCCCCCACTTGGAGGCATGTTTTTGAGGCCAAAAAAGTCATCTTGTACGCCGGCAAATACGGTAAGTATATGCAAGCAAAGGGCAACTTCTTCATATGAATCTCATCACCATGAGGAATCTCCAGTTTCACCATTCAAACCAGTTACATTTTTGGACTGCAACTCTCAGAATCCCACAGCCAGCACAGTCACTGGAATTCCGGGACCTATTGTGTTAAAAAGCAGGTTCTCCAAATTCTGAATTAAATCCCATAAATCTGATTTGGTTCACGGTGAGGAAAATTTGAAGTTTCTGAGGGTGAGCAAATACACCTAAAGCATTTGTCACATGGACTGGTGTTCATAACAGTTCCACATATGATTCGGTTTAGGAACTTCCCATGGGTCAATGATAAAAAAATTTCTTCCAGCAAACAACATTAAATACAGGATGCAAACTACATTACCTTCATGTTTTTCATTGGTTGGGGAAGAAGACTTTGTTTTAATCCTACCCTGTTCTGAGTAAGAAGACCTGAAAATGAAGTAGCAAAGAGATCTCTAAATTAGCACGGAGTGCAAAGAAAGAAAAGTGTTTTCAAAGCTTATTGTTCCTCCTAATGTATGGCATAATGTTGCGTGGTGGGCTATGTTCAGGAGACCTAGCTTCAAATCCTGAGTCAGTGTGAAACTTCTTGGAAGACCATGGGCTAGTCACAGTCTCTCTGACTGACGTACCTCACAGAGTTGCTATCAGGATAAAGCAGATGGAATCAGAGAACCATGTATGTCACCTTGAGCTCACTGGAGGAAAGATAGGCTAGTCGTGCTACTAACAGATTTCTGTCAGGGCTATGTGGTAACTACTGACATCACTTAACAATGGAGATTCATCTTGGGGGGGGGGGAATGAATGAACAAAGGAAATAATGCCTGATCATAACTGGTGGAATTCTCCAGGAATGTTGGCAAGTCTTTGGGTCTGAGTCGGAGCCCTCAGTCTCTACTAAAAACATGCTTTTTCCCCAGACAAAAGGGAGGGGTGGGTTCCAAGTCATAAGTCAAGTCCAAGTCACTGGAAAAACAAAACAAAACAAAACAAACCCAAGTCGAGTTCAAGTCAAGTCACTGATGCAACTTAAGTCCAACTTGGTAGTGAGTCCTGTGACTTGACTCCCCACCCCTGGTATTCTCTCCAAAAATCTTTATAGGGAAAGTAGTAAAAATAGATCAACCAAGGATGACGTTTCACCATTTTCTGAAAATGCAAAAGGTTCAAAACCTCCTGAAATTTGTCTGTGTCTCACTGAAATGTCTATTTTGGCATTTTAAGAAAAGGATGTGGTTTTAATGGTGGTCCTATGTCCTATAAGCTACAGTACATATGTTACATTTTTCCTGTTCATCTACTTAATTCTTACCTCAGACTTGACCATTTGGCTTTGATCCAAGACACATTTCTTGAATCCTTGTTTCGCCTGGAGAAAAAGTAAAGAATTCTTATTACTGATTCACAGTGCTGGAAGTATTGGCGGGCATATTACTAGTTATGTGCTCAACTATGAAAAAAGTTGGCCTAATTTCTTCTTCCTTTTCATTGCCTACTAGATGTTGGGTGTCATCATGGTGATCTTGACTTTGGATGCAACAGCTCTAAACAACGGTATTGCTGATGGTCCCCCCCCCCGCAATACATTCTTCTGCTTCCTGTTCTTATTTTCTCATTTTTTTTAACCTTGCCTGATCAGCTGTAAGAAATTTCTACTTTTTTGCTTCTCCTTTCATGGCTGAAATTTCCTGCCTTTCCCTGTTTTATGTGTTTTATGAGTTCTTGTCTTTATACATTCAACTTGGTATTTCATTGTTAGACACTCTCTCAGTCCATGAAAATCCTGGTTCCTACAATAAATCCACATTTCAAATTATTCTCTTTCTCCATATGTGTGTCTATTTGTGATAGTACCCTATTTTACAGTCCAAAATTCCATGCTGCACAACAGAACTTAGACTACATAGCACCATACAGTGCACTTTCTCAAAGTCAATTTGAAGCTTTGTGTGCATTACATTTCTCATCTTAAAGAGGCTGCTCTGGATCATGCCCACTCTGACACTAATTGTATGGCTGTTATCCCTTAAGATACTTAAGTTCATCTGCTTATTCTGCACATTCATTTTGGATCTTTAAATGCATTTCTTTCACTGCTTGCTTTTTCACTGATTACCAATTTACAAAATAAATCAGTCTGGATCCTCTAGTCTTCTACTGACATATATTATACAGATATTGTCATACCCTTGTAGGCTCATATAATTGTAGAGTTGGAAGGAATCCCAAGGGTAATCTAGACACTAATATCTTTATCTCAGCAGTGAGGATTCTATATGAGGATTTCTGGAGACTGCTGAAATGCAGAAATTTGAAGAATAGAAAGCTAAGGGGAAAGAAGGATGCTGTTGTGGCTGCACTAAACTAGGCAAGAACAAAAGAGGAGAACGCAATTAGTTTAGAAAAAAGAAAAGTGTTTATCAGAGAGTAAAGTACATCTTTGTACAGCTATTAACTATACATTTTGTTTACAGTGTTCAACTGTTGAATGCAAAAATTGCTAACTTTTTCATTCTGTGTAGAATGAATATCTCATATAGTTCACAGAAATTAAATGTAGCTGTTTTGAAAAGTACAACCATCATCAAATCTTTTTAATTATAGCAGGAAAGGAATACTGAAGACTGGTTTATGCAAAACTGTCATGAAGAACCATAGAGGATATTTTCTCAATTTTATCTCTGCAGCTTTAAAGATTATATACTCCCCCTTTTTTGCACTGCTTGCTTTTTCACTGATTTCACTCAACTGCCCATAATTTTAAGTTGTCCCATCACTACAGCAGTCACAAAGGAGCCTGGGACACAATACTGAGTTCACACTCAGCACTAGACGACAACGTACAATTACAGAGCTGCTTCCCAAACGTGGCCTGTCTATGGCTCATCTTCTACCCTAGCTAACTAAGTATGCACCTATCTTATGCATGCACAAACATATGTTAGAAACAACTCTATACCATCCTAACAATTCTACCATCCTAACATTCTTTGTTGGCATGGTGTGCTCTGAGCTCTTTTGAGTTGTTTTTTAAAGCTTCAAAAAGTTTTTTAAAAATTGCCAGAGAAGGGAAAGTTAGTGGAGAAGGGTTAATATATTAAGTTGACTGTTAATAAGCTTAAACATGTGGTTAATTAGCTTTTTAAAAATTATGTTTATGCTGAAAGGGGATTTTTTAGCAATCCAGTTAATTTTAAATTGGTGTTTACATTTATGTTACATTACTATACTGAAAGTCATAGAAAGTGAAGCCCCAGAGGTTAAAAAAAAACCTACACATTATTTTACATCTTTTACAATTCACAGATTAATTATGAAATGAAACCCAGGATTTTAATTATGAATCTATGTCTTTATTAATTACCTAGAAGAAAGATGGATATTTATTTGCTACTATTTATTTTTGCATTTACAACCCACAGTGGGTTCAAGATAGAGTGACTGCATTTCTTGCTTACCATTTTAAGCCTTGAGAAGTGACTTTCATCATTCTATAGAGACTAGAACTTGGATCTTCCAAGTCCCAGGGTTCAGTGCTCTATATCAGTGGTCCCCAACCTTGGGTCTCCAGATGTTCTTGGACTACAACTCCCAGAAGCCTTCACCACCACCTCTGCTGGCCAGGATTTCTGGGAGTTGAAGTCCAAGAACATCTGGAGGCCCAAGGTTGGAGACCACTGCTCTATATGCTACATAACATTGTCTCTATTACCAGGGCAAAAGGGAGGGGTCATTCTAGAAAATCCAATGTGCTCTTTTCCTCTCCAGCACCCTTGATTCTTGTTGCTTTCCTTAGCAAGAAACAGACAAGGGCAGTTGAGCTCAGCTGCTTCCAGGCAATTAAGAAAGTGCAAATAGGGACTTAATTCTAGAGAAATGTAATGCAAAGATACAAATTTAGGTGACTTAACTTTTGGTAAAAAATAAATAAATTGAATTAAGTTGCTTCTTTTTGTTAGCCAACCTAATTGATGACTTAATGTATTTTAATACACGAGTCCCTATCTTTGAAATTATTATCAGTCAGATGTACTAATCTTGAGATTTTCTGAGAACTCCAAGTAAGACATAGAGAGATGGGAGAGTTCTGAACAACTGCAGAGAACTCCAGGATATTATACTGTCCCATATTACTTGACACTAGTGTCTTAGTAATGCGCTATATTCCTCAAAGGATAGCACTGAGTCAGGAGATTTTCTGCCCCCTGCTTTCTCTTCATCTAATTTTCTCCCATGCTTCTACACAGGAAACCCTACACAGTTGGGCAAAGCTGGTAAACGTACAGTGCCATATTTATTACAGGTGGAGCCACACACAATATATAGTGCACAGCCATGTACTATACTGTATAGAAGATAAATTGTCTGAAGTGTGATAACACAAACTCAGCTGTAGGCTTACCTTGTCAATGGATGTTGATACTGTATAAAGATAATGTATCTTTGTCTTCATCATTTAGTCATGTCCGACTCTTCGTGACTCCATGGACCTGCAGTCCCTACTACATTGTTGCCTACTACATTGTTGTCTACATCTACTACATTGTTGTCTCTACAAAATCAAGCCTATACCTGATGAAGCTATAAACCCACAAAGATCAAATTGTGATCTTACCATTCTGGAAGATTTGTGTGTGTCCCTTTGTTAATGACTTGCAGCTGTTCAAGTAAATTTGAAAGGAGCCAATGTAGAGTCAGGACTGAGCCAAGATTTTCCCCTGGATTCAACAGACGGTAAAGGTCATGCAGCAAAAAATGAATCTTGGGGACAGTAGAAGGAAACAGCTGGGGGGAAAAACAGTCAGTGTAGATCAAGGTAATAAAGGCATACATGTAGTGATGAGGATATGTATTTCTTACAAATCTCCATGAAATTTATTTATTTATTGCATTTATACCTCGCCCATCTAGTCAATTGTCTACTCTGGGCCGCTTCCAACATAAATAATAACAATATAAAATATAACAACATTTAGACATTAAATAGTAGAGTTAATCAAGATGGAAAAGATAAGAAAAAAAATAAATCAAATAATAACTAAGGGAAGGCCTGCCTAAACATCCAAGTTTTCAGTTGGTTTTTAAAGATACCCAGCGAAGGGGCCACGTGGATCTCCGGAGGGAGATTATTCCAGAGGCGAGGAGGTACCGCCAAGAAGGCCTGGTTTCTTGTTTTTTCCTTCCGGACCTCCCTCGGCGTCAGGCTCCTGAACCTCACCTCCTGACTCGATCAAGTGATACAGGTAGATTTTGGTGGGAGTAGGCAAGTATTGAGGCCCTAAACCATTTAGGGTTTTGTACGTAAGCATTAAAATTTTGAAGTCAACGCGGAACCAAATGGGCAGCCAATGCAAAG